GGTTTTGGTCTAGTATTTAAGATGGTAGTTATGTACGAATGAGCAAAAATCCCTATCTTAGATCAGTGCTGTGCAATGAGGTGGGGTTGGTTAGTAATGTCGCAACAAAAGATCCACTGAGAAACAGTGATTATACAATAAAACAGAAAGAGAAACCTTACAACAGTTGTTATAAAAATTGCAGAAAGCCTAGAGGAGTATAGAAAATGCAGGGGTGTAATAAAAAAAATTAGGAAAACAAAAAGACATGAAAAAGTATTTACAGGTAACATCATATGCCTAAATATGTTTTAACAGTCCATTGACCATGAAAGAAAAATGAAGGAGAAAGGTTGGGCCTAGCAGAGATGAACAAGGTAACGTGTGTGTGTGGATGCAGGCTTCTTAAAGAGAACTTTGTCTCCAACTCCTTCACAAAGGAGCAGACATTCTTGTGAAATATTAGATATAAGAAGTATATTCTTGAATGTGGATAAATAACCAGGGTCAGATGGAATCTATCCCAGGCCAAAAGAAAAGAAAAGATGAAATAATAGATGTTCTGAGGATCATTCTCCAATCTTCACTAGATATCAGAGGATTGGAGATCTGTGAATATTGGACTGCTGTCTGAAAAGGGTGTAAAGCGCAGACCAAATAATTATAGGCCATTCGTTTTGGCTTTGTTGCTGGGCAAATTATTAGAAATCAATTCTGAGAGACAGGTTGAACTATCACTTCGAAAGGCATGAATTAGTCAGAGATAGTCTTCATGGTTTTGTTCGGAGGTCAGGACATACCAATGTGATTCATTTTATGAGCATAGTGCAGTGGATATTTTCTAAATGAATTTTGAGTTAAGGCTTTTGACAATGGGAAAATCGTCAGAAAAGTAGAAGCCCATGGGATACAGGGCAATGTTACGAGTTGGATCCAAAGTTGGTTCACCAACAGGAAACAAAGGGTAATGGTGGAATGACATTTTGCAAATGAAAGCTGTCTCCTGTGCCTTTCTGCAGGGCTCAGGATTGGGACCCTGCTGTTATTTTGTATATATTATTGATTCAAACTTAAACGTTGGAGGCATAATTGTGAAATTTGTAGATTACACAAAAAAGTGGGCACAGCATTGGTAGTGGATGATAGTTGTCAATTCTAGAATGATGGAAGATATATTCAACAGTACTATTAAGCAGCACCTGCTCAGTGACGCCCAGTTTGGACTCTGCCAGGGCTAGTCAGCTCCCAAGTTCATTACAGCCTTGGTTCAAACATAGACAAAAGAGTTGAATTCCAGATGAGGTGAGTGACTACCCTTGACATCAAGGCCACATTTGACTAATGTGGCATTAAAGAGCCCTAGCAAAAGTGGAGTCAGTGGGAATCGGGGGTGGGGGACAAGAGACTCTTTGCCAGTTGAAGTCATATCTGGCACATAGTAAGATGATTATAATTGTTGCGATTCGGTCATCTCAGCAGGAGTTCAAGAGAATGTCCCAAGCCCAACGAACTTCAGCTGCTTCATCTGTGACCTTCCCTCCATCATAAGGTCAGAAATGGGGATGTTCACTAATGTTTGCACAATGTTTAGCAACATTCGTGACTCATCAGACACTGAAGCAGTCTGTGTTCAAATGAAGCATGAGCTGGAAAACATCCAGGCTTGGGTTGAAAAGTGGCAAGTAACATTTTTGCCACACAAGTTTTAGGCAATGACCATATCTAACAGGAGATGATCTAACCGTCACCCCTTGACTTTCAATGGCATTACCATCAGTCAATCCCCCATCAACACCTGGGAGTTACCATTGACCAGAACTGAACTGGACCAGGTTGGCATGATGGCTCAGTGGTTAGCTCTGCTGCCTCACAGCACCAGAGACCTTGGTTTAATTCCATTCTCAGGTGACCATCTATGTGGAGTTTGCACATTCTCCCTGTGTCTGCGTGTATTTCCTCCAGGTGTTCTGGTTTCCTCCCATGGTCGAAAGATGTGCAGGCTAGGTGCATTAGTCATAGCAAATGCAGTGTTATAGGGATTGGGTGGGGGGTGGATTCTGTGGATTGGAATGGAACTGATGGGCCAAATAGCCTGCTTCCACACTGTAGCAATTCTACAATTTAAATATAGTGCTTATAATAGCAGGTCAGAAATTACAGATACCGTGGCAATTCATGACTCCCCAATACCTGTCCACCATCTACAAGGCAGAAGTCAGCAGTGTGATGGAATACTCCTCATTTGCCTGAGTGAGTACAGCTCCAACAATACAAAAAGCTGGACACCATCCAGGACAAAGCAGCCAGCATGATTGGCACCACTTCCACACCCTCCACCATCAACAATCTGTTGGAGCAGAGTGTATCACCTACAACATGCACTGCAGAAATTCACTAAAGCTGCTTCAACAGGACATGGGTAGCAGATACAAAGAAACACCACCAGCTCCAAGCTCTCATCCAAGTCATTCATCATCCCGACTTTGAAATATATCAATTCCTTAGTGTTGTGTCAAAATCCTGAAATTTCCCTCCCTGACATCCTTCATGATCTGCCTTTCTGAGCAACAATGGATCAAGATGGCAGCTCAACTCTCCCTTAGAGAGCAACTAGGAATGGGCAATAAATGATGGTCCATTCAACAATATCCATATTCCACGAGTGAATAAAACAAAATCAAAATTCTGGTTGATTTGGTGAAAAGTAGCAAATGGAATTCAATCCAGAGAAGTGTAAGGGAATGCTTTTTGGGAAAGGTGAAGAAAGCTCAGGTATATACAATGAAGATGAGAATACTGAGGGGAGGAAGTGGGAGATCTTAGAATGAATATCTACAGATACATAATAAAGAAAGTATATGGAATGCTTTCCTTTATTGAACAAGTATAAAATACAAAAGCAAGGATATAATGCTGGAACTGTCTAAAACACTGGCTAATCCACAGCTAAAATCTTGTGTAAATTTGTAGTTATTGCATTACAAGGGGAAAAAAAAACTTGGAAAGAATACACAGGAAATTTACAAGAATATTGCCAGGGCTTGATAATGCAGCTATGAGGAAAGATTAGATAGGCTAGGGTTGTTTTCACTAGAACCAAGCCCAAATGCGACTTAATTGAAGTGTACACAATTATGAGGGCTTAGATAGTATCAACAACTTTCCCTCCATCATAAGGTCAGAGGTGGGCATGTTCACGATGTTTGCACAATGTTTAGCAACATTCATGACTTCTCAGATACTGAAGCAGTATGGAAAAAATCCTCCAGTTGAGGGGACAATTATCAGTCGGCACAATTTTAAGGTGATCAGTACAAGGATTACAGGGGACATGAGGAAAAATCTTTTAACCTACAAGGTTATAGCTGGCTGGAACTCATCTGGTTTGGTGGTGGATGTAGAAACCCCCTCACTCATTTAAAAGGTACTTGGATCTGTACTTAAAGTGCTAGAACTTGCAAGGCTACAGACCAGGTGCTGGAAGTTGGGATTAGAATGGGTGACTGGTTCTCTTTTGGCCAGCACAGACATGGGCTGAATGGCCACTTTCTGCGCTGTATTATTTCTATGGTTTTATGGAATTCCACATGAAAGTGGAAAACCAAATTCTTTAAGAATTTTAAATTTAAATGAACAGTTACATAACTGTTACAGAACAGCAAGCTAAGGTTGATTGGTTAAATAAACCAAAAGCTATGGTGATAAGTAAACTGTGGAAAATATTTAAAGAAATAATTAAAAATGTTCAAAAATAAAATTCCTTTGAAACCAAATATCTAGTAAGAAAGAATCAGAAGAAGCTTTAGCTTTGCAAAGAAAAGTAGTACAGTTTGAGGATTAGAAGTATTAAAGAAACCAACAAAGGACGATCAAAAGATTAATGACAAGGGAAAAAGTAGAATACGAAAGTAAAGTAGGCAGGAGCGTAAACACAGATTGTCAGAGGTTTCACAAGTATGTAAAAAAGAGTAGAAAAAGTAAATGTGGAGTTTCTCAGAAGCAAAGGCAGGAACAATTATCATGGGAAATGAGGAAATAAGATGCACTGAACAATTATTTGGTACCTCCTACCATAAAGGTGGATGCAAGTTACATACCAGAAATAAAAGGTAACTGGGGCTAATAAGAATGTGGAAATTAAGGCAAGTAGAGAAACTCAAGGGACTAAAGACTGACAAATCCTGTGGCTCCAGGACCTTACGATTCTCTCCATTCCCAATTCTTGTTATTATGTTAACAAGGCCCTTGCCATCCATGTGATTATTGTGGATGACTATACCAACACTTTGCCTTTAATTAAGGCCTGGTGGAGGAATGATGATACCCTTCTACTAAATAACACATTACCACTAGACTATCTTCTGTCACCTCTTTATTCTTGTAGGGCTGGCAAGGCTGGCATTTGTTGCCCATCCCTAGTTGCTCTTGATTTGAATGAAACTCTAGGCAATTTCAGAGAACAGTTAGGATTCGATCACATTGCTGTAGGTCTAGAGTCATATGTAGGCCAGACCAGGTAAGGGCAACAGATGTTTTTCCCTAAAGGCCATGAGTGAACCAAATTGATGCTTAACAACAATGATTAGTTAATTGGTTGCCTTTAGGCTAGCTTTAATTCCAGATTTTGCTGAATTCAAAATTTTCCATCTGCCATTGTAGGATTTAAATCCATGTTCCCAAACATGGGGCTTTAGATTATCCAGCGATATTAACAATATGCTACTATCTCCCCAAATTGTTGTTTAGCTGTAAGCATATGATGACACCTTGGCCTATGCCCTTGTCCCTCTGCCATTTATTCCTTTTTTGAGCAACTCACTTTCTTTCACCCCTCTCAACTACCCATCCAAATACCATTAAAGTTTTCTCAGAGATCAGCTAATGTCGACAAGGGCCAGCATGTATGTGCAAAATTTAAAAATCTATGGAACACTTGTTTCAAGAATTTTTAAATTAACTTGATTTTAAATGTCAGCAAAACAGAATTAATAGAATAAACCGTCAAGAACAGAAAGTCTTTACAGGTTATAGTTAATTTAATGTTCAAATATTCATCACAATAGTTTGTACAGATATGTAAGGAATGGAAGTACAAAAGACAGCAAATGCTCACGTTCAAAGTCTGAGGAACAATGGTTTCATAAACTTTTTAAATTTATTTGCTAAAGTTTTAAAATTAGCAAAACAACTGACAAACTACCTCACTTTCTCCAAAATACTTGCAAAATGCAGACTTTTCAACTCTTTATTTTTAAATATATTTAAGAATAGTAATCAAAAGACAACTTTCAGAGGGAAAATGGCAGACAAAGTTGGGATCATGTGCCTCCCAGTTAAATAAATAGTCAGTATTTAACACGAGTGGGTTACAGTTTAACCATAAACAACCTAATTGACACCAGTACTGTATTTTCAATAAAGCCAACATAATTTTCTGCGTAGAATTTCTTATATCCATTTGCTTTAAGATACATGTATCTTTCCATGCAATCTGGCAAGCACCAGCAAAATAAATCTCAGTCTGCTCATTGTTACTTATGAAAAGTAAAGGGAAGGAACAATCTGCTTCATATCAAATTATTCAGATGACAGAATCATTTTCAAGAAAAAGGTATGAGAAACGCCAGCACTTACAAAGATGAAAAACATTCAAGGCAGTCGCAGATAGATGCTGTGTGCACAGAAATTGGTTTAAGGTGCTTTTATATCATCATTCCATGCTCCATTATGTAATTGATTCTGTTCTCGTACCTCATTAAACTGCTTGGTCTCATGCTCATTGTATGTCAAACTTGATATAGGTTCAGAAGTAGAAAATATTGCACTCTGTAAAATTATCAACCAGATACATTGCATAATTTCATCAAATTGGACTTGGTGCAACTGAGTTTTAGGTTGCCCATTTGAAACTGGTAGTACTTTGAAGAACTGCATATGCAACAAGTCAAGGATTCCCATCATGGGCAGGAAGGCAACAGACTATAATGACAAAAATTGCTCCACAGATGTGTTTCTGTATTCCATCTTGTTCTGCTGAAAATCACTTGCTCCTTTTACAAACATCTTTTCCATTTAGAATATATACAACTGAGGAGAGGAATGCTTTATTTCTCCACCTCAACTTCACCCCAAGAGCACTGAAAGTTCTAAATGTGCACAGTGATTGGTATAAAGAAACCCAATTTAAGTCTTCAGCCAGCAGCGTAACTGCTCAGGAAGGAATAAAACATAGGGAGCTTCATCCGTTGTTGGTCCTTACGACACCAGGCTATCACGGTGCCATCACTGTTTGCTGTGTAGAGATGATGGCCATCACAGGAAAACGTGAGACTGTAGGACACAAGAGGGAATATAACTATCAAAGTCAAAAGCACACTTATCAAAAAAATGCCAGATATTTAACTCAGGATTTTACCTAACATTTTGTTTGTCTTTTGACTATCAGCACAAATATTTTCTTCCCTTTTCTGGTAATTTTCTCCTCTCCTGAAGAAAAACGTCTTATTGCTGGAGTCCACTTCCATGGAAACTGACTGTCCTCTAGTAATTGTTTAAAAACAGCTACACTCACTATATTTTACAGCAATGTTTTCCATTGGAGTGCAGCATACGCACTGCATTGTGCAACTACTGATTCTGCCTTGCAACTGTCAGGGTCCTTAGTGAATTAAAGGGATTCCCTGAAGGAAGGAGGCTAAAATTAAATTGATCTGACTCAATTTCTTAGTTAGTTTTGAAAGTGCTCAAGCACCTTGGACTTTGCTGGATAATCTTTCATACTGAACATTAGTTTAAAATGTTTGGTAAAATTAACTCCAGCTCATTCAGCATTTGACTTACCTCTATGTAAGAAGGTCATAGGTTCACATCTCATCCATAAGACCATAAGACATAGGAGCAGAAATTAGGCCATTCAGCCCATCGATTCTGCTCCGTCACTCAATCACGGCTGATAAGTTCCTCGACCCTATTCTCCCGCTTTCTCCCCATAACCCTTGATCCCATGGATAATCAAGAACCTATCTATCTCAGTGTTAAATGTACTCAATGACCTGGCCTCCACAGCCTTCTGTGGCAGTGAGTTGACACTCAAGCCTATAATTTATAAAGGCAAGGACTTCAGTGCTGAAGATGAATGTAAATGATTCTATGGCATCAGAGTTCAGCAGAGTTCTCCCTGGTGTTCTAGCCAATATTTAACTCCCATTAAAACAGATGATTTAATTATCATATGGCTCTTGTAGGAGGTTTTGGCCACTGTATTTTCTACATTACCACAAAGATGACACATCAAAAGTACTTCTAATGGCTGTAAGTTGCTTTGGGACATCCCAAAATTATGAAAGATATATATAAGTGATATAAATGTAAGTTTTTGTTAGCTATTTTTAAGAAAGTGGCTTGTGAAAGAGGGATCCCAAAGACAGATTTCTAGCTGTTGAGAAACAGATTTGTTCATGTGTGTATCTAGACATTGCAGAGCTGTCTCATGAAAGCATGTTAGTGTCAGACAGGCACCAAATAATGGTAGCATGGTTCAGCCTAGTATCCAAACAGCAGTTACTACTCCCTGACTTTGCTGTATTTGTTGGTGAATTCCAATAGACTGAAGAAAAAAAAAGGCCGAGATTCAGCCAACATCTATCATTATCACATTACTTATAAAGACGTGGAAGCAAGTCACATGCATTTTTATGTTGCAGCGGGATTAGAGCAGCAGAGGGAAGGTAGGGGCATGGGGAGGGAAATCACTCAGAGAATGAACGCGGCAAGTATTAGAGGATTCAGGATCTTACCCATAATTCCCCACCACCAGAGGTACTGAAATGAGGCTACACGCACTCACTGGGACTGAGAGAAGAAAATGATTGACACACGCAGCCATTCTCACATGGTTGAGGAGTGGTACTAGAGAAGAGCAGGTGTAAAGATTGTAAACTATGGTCTGAAGTGTAAAAATACATAGGGAGATGAATAAAAGTGATGGGAAGGGCAATTAGTTACGGTATCATAGAAATGTTGGGGTGTTAGTTTGTATTTTATCTTAGATTTTACATACATTCATTGTAAGTTCAGCTGCATTATATTCTGATTGTTTTGGATGAGTGGCTGGAAACAACTGAAATAATTCAACAGTCGAGTTTACTTCTATCAACAGTTTGTGATTTGTAAAACTGATAGGTTTTCACTGGGATTGTCCTCACCCTCAACAACTTCTCTTTCAATTCCTCCCACTTCCTACAGACAAAGAGAGTGGCCATGGGTACCTGCATGGGCCCAAGCTATGCCTGCCTCTTTGTAGGTTACGTGGAACAATCCCTCTTCCGTAGTTACACTGGCCCTAAACCCCACCTCTTCCTCCGTTACATTGATGACTGTATTGGCGCCGCCTCGTGCTCCCATGAGGAGCTCGAGCAGTTCATCCACTTCACCAACACCTTCCACCCCAACCTTAAGTTCACCTGGACCATCTCTACCACCTCTCTCTCCTTCCTGGACCTCTGTCTCCATCTGTGCCAACCACCTAGAAACCGATATCCATTTCAAGCCCACCGACTCCCACAGCTACCTAGAATACACCTCCTCCCATCCACTTTCCTGCAAAAACACCATCCCCTATTCCCAATTCCTTCGCCTCCGCCGCATCTGCTCCCATGTTGAGGCATTCCACTCTCGTACATCTCAGATGTCCTCGTTTTTCAAGGACCACAAATTCCCCCGCTCAGTGGTCGAGAACGCCCTCGACCGTGTCTCCCACATTTCCCGCAACTCATCCCTCACACCCCCTCCCCGCAATAACAACCAAAACAGAATCCCCCTCGTCCTCAGGTACCACCCCACCAACCTCCGGATCCAACGCATCATCCTCCGACACTTCCGCCATCTGCAATCCGACCCCACCAAAGACATTTTTCCCTCCCCACCCTTATCTGCTTTCCGGAGGGACCTTCTCTCTGTGACGCCTTTGTCCGCTCCACACTCCCCTCCAGCCCCACCACTTTTCCCTGCAACCGCATGAAGTGCTACACCTGCCCCCATACCTCCTCCCTCACCCCCATCCCAGGCCCCAAGAAGACTTTCCACATCAAGCAGATGTTCACCTGCACATCTGCTAATGTGGTATACTGCATCCACTGTTCCCGTTGTGGCCTCCTCTACATCGGGGAAACCAAGCGGAGGCTTGGGGACCGCTTTGCAGAACACCTATGCTCGGTTCGCACTAAACAATTGCGCCTCCCAGTCACAAACCATTTCAACTCCCCCTCCCATTCCTCAGACGACATGTCCATCCTGGGCCTCCTGCAGTGCCACAACGATGCCACCCGAAGGTTGCAGGAACAGCAACTCATATTCCGCTTGGGAACCCTGCAGCCCAATGGTATCAATGTGGACTTCACAAGCTTCAAAATCTCCCCTCCCACTACCGCATCCCAAAACCAGCCCAGCTCGTCCCCGCCTCCCTAACCTGTCTTTCCTCCCACCTATCCCCTCCTCCCACCTCAAGCCCCACCGCCATCTCCTACCTACTAGCCTCATCCCGCCCCCTTGACCTGTCCGTCCTCCCTGGACTGACCTATCTCCTCCCTAACTCCCCACCTACACTCACCTTTACTGGCTCCATCCCCGCCTCTTTGACCTGTCTGTCTCCTCTCCAGCTATCTTCTCCTCTATCCATCTTCTATCCGTCTTCCCCTCTCTCCCTATTTATTTCAGAACCCCCTTCCCCTCCCCCACTTCTGAAGGAGGGTCTCGGCCCGAAACGTCAGCCTTCCTGCTCGGCCTACTGTGTTCATCCAGCTCTATATCTTGTTATCTCAGGTTTTCACAGGAACTTTCTTCTCTACAGCATGCATAACGTAATTAAAAATGTCCCAAGATGCTCCACAGCAGCATTATTGAATAAAACTGAAGTCACATGAAAAAAAATTAGGACAAGTGACCAGCTGCTTGGTCAAGGAGATATATTTTAAAGAACATTGTAAAGGAAGAGAGGGACTAGAAGCGTAGAAGGAATTTTAGAATTTCAGAATTTAACTGCTTTAGGCACTGTAGATGCCAATGAGGGACAAATAAAATCAGCAATACAGGAGAGGTCAGAATCAGAAGTCCGTTAGAAAATTATTCTTGGACATAGCCTGCTGAGGTTGTTTTTGTTCATCTGAAAATCTTATTCCTGGAATGACTGGATACACATGAGCATACTTACATAGCTGGGCAATTTTGATATAAAATATGGCATCTTCTATACTGTACAATACAAATGAATAAGTCCATGAGAAGGGAACTTAAGTAAATTCATACTAAACCAGGTTTTGTTGATGTTTAACAGCATATGTATTTCAAAGTATTTTGCTCAATCTTACCTGACAATAGGCCGGTTTGATTTTGGGAAAGTAATTTCCCTAACAGGCTTCAGGTCCCACGTACTCCACAGCCTGAATGGCACAGAAGTGTTCAAAAGTAAGAATTCGTACTTGTCATTTTAATCATTACAGTAAACAACTGCCCAAATACATGAGTAAAGGAGTTTAGTGGGTCCACAGGTAGAGGAAAGATTTAAACATTAGAATGGTTTTATAAATGAACAGCTAAAGGGCAAGTAAACAACAGTCAATGAAGTATCTGCAAAGCTAATGTACAATACAACGTGCTTGTATCAAGTTTCTCAATCACTAAGACCTCTTACTAAATTGCCCATAGTGTTCAGGGATGTATAGCTTAGGTGGGTTACAGGTGGATGGGTCTGGCTGGGATGCTCTGAGGGTCGGTGTGGACTTGTTGGGCTGAAGGGCCTGTTTCCACACTGTAGGGATTCTATGATTCTTATAAAATAGGAATAGGAGCAGGCCCTCTGGCCTGTCATGCCTGCTCTGCCAATCAGTAGGATCATGGCTGATTCAACACACTTCACATCCATTTTCCTGCCTTTCCCGATAATCCTTGATTTCCCTACTGATCAAGAATCCATCTCAGCCTTCAATATACCCAAGGACTCTGCCCCACAGCTGTCTGTGACAAGAAGTTCCTAAGACACAACACCCGAAGAAATTCCTCCTCACATCATTCTTAACTTTGCGCACTTTTATTGACAGACTCTCTCAATATGCCCTCTTGTCCTAGACTCTCCTATGAGGGGGAATATCCTCTCAGCATTTATCCTTTCAAGCCTCTTATTAATCCTGTACGTCTTAATGAAATCACCTTTTATTCTTCTAAACTCTAGTGAGCGGAGTTCCAACCTGTTTAATCTTTGCTCATAAGATAATCCCTCCATACCAGGGATCAATCTAGTGAGCATTCTCTGAACTGCTTTCAAATGAAATAATACCTTTCCTTAAATAAGGGGAACAAAATTACTCTCAGTACTCCTGATTTATTTTAAACTTCATTTGTGGGATGTGGGCACCACCGGGTGGCCAGCATTTATTGCTTGTCTCAAGTTGCCCTTGAGAAGGTGGTGGTGAGCTGCCTTCTTGAACCGCTGCAGACCACCTGCTATGGGTTGACCCACAATGCCATCAGGGAGGGAATTCCAGGATTTTGAACCAGCAACAGTGAAGGAATGGTGATACATTTCCAAGTCAGGGTGGTGAGTGGCTTGGAGTGGAACTGGTGGGTGGTGGTGCTCCCATGTATCTATTGCCTTTGTCGTTCTAGATGGAAGTGGTTGTAGGTTTGGAAGGTGCTATCTGAGGATCTTTGGTGAATTTCTGCAGTGTATCTTATAGATAGTACATTCTGCTGCAACTGAACATCGGTGGAGGAGGAAGTGGATGTTTGTGAATGTGGTGCACATCAAGTATACTTTGTCTTCGATGGTGTCAAACTTCTTGCATATTGTTGGAGACGCACACATCCAGGCAACTGATCGGTATTCCATCACACTCCTGACTTGTGCCCTGTAGATAATGGATAGGCTTTGGGGAGTCAGGTAATGAGTCACTCACCGCAGTATTCCTAGCCTCTGACCTACTCTTGTACCTACTATATTTATGTGGCAAGTTCAGTTGAGTTTCTGGTCAATGGTAACCCCAAGGATGTTGATACTGGGGAATTCAGTGATGGTAACACCATTGAATGTCAAGGGGCTGTGTTAGATTGTCTCTTATGGTGGTCATAGCCTGGCATTTGTGTGGCTTGAACATTACTTGCCACTTGTCAGCCTATGACTGCATATTGTCTAGATTTTGTTGCATTTGAGCATGGGCTACTTCAGTATCTGTGGAGTTGCAAATGGTGCTGAACGTTGCACAATCATCAGCGAACACCCTGACTTCTGACCTTATCTTGGAGGGTTGGTCACTGATTTAGCAGCTGAAGACTGTTGGGCCTGAAGATATAGTCACTAGTACCTTGGTCAGTTGCGGTAACACTTCTCTACTCATACTTCAACCCCTTGAAATAAGCAATCTACTATTTTACTACTAGTCCTAACTTATTTGGATAGAGTAATAAAGAAGATATTTTTGGAGTTCGAAATAAATTTGTAGTTAACTTTAATCTTTACATAGACAGGACCATTAAATTGGCCAAGATAGTCATAGAACCCCCACAGTGCAAAAAGAGCTAATTCAGTCCACTGAGTCTGCACTGACCTGAAAAGCATCCCACCTAGACCCAGCCCTCCAACTATCCCCATAACCCCACATTTACCATGGCGATTCCACCTAACCTGGACACTATGGGGCAATTCAGCATGGTCAATCCACCTAACCTGCACTTTTCTGCACTGTGGGAGGAAACCAGAGCACCTGGCGGAAACCCATGCAGACATGGGGAGAACATGCAAACTCCATATAGACAGACAGTCACCCGAGGCTGGAATTGAACCCAATCTGCTGGCACTGTGAGGCAGCAGTCCTAATCACTGAGCCTCTGTGCACCCCTGCAAGACTAATTTATAGAATGCAATTTTTTGACAGTTTCCTGGAGTAATATGTTGTAGAATCAACTAGAGACTAAACTATTTTAGATCTAGTACTGTACAATAAAGCAGTTTCATCTGTAATGTCAAAGGAAAGGATCTACTGAAAAATAATTATGAAATAATGGATTTCCACACTGTTAGAAAATGACATACATTAATCCAACGGTGAAACATAGAAGTGGTGGGTGAATCTGTCCTCAAATGCCTTAAACTCCATTCATTGGGGCAGTCATTGAGATTAATAGTTACAGAGGGGCAAAGTAGAATGGAAGGAAATAAGGAGGAGCAATCAGCAGTTATGAAAATAAGTTCTGGCAATGACAGCTGACAGGAGAGAACCAAGCAAGAATGGAGACTGGTATAGGCAGCCTGTCATTAGGAAAATCTTAGAGTCCATCTGCCACAGTTTCATAGAGACCTACAACACAGAAAAAGACCCAACACGTCTGTGCCAGCTGTTATTGGGAAAATGTTAGAGACAATTATAAAAGGATGTAATAGGAGAGCATTTAAGAAATATGATCAAGCAAAGTCAGCATGGCTCCATGAAAGGGAGATCATGCCCACTTTGAGGAGGCAATGAGGATATAAGAGGAGGAACCAGTAGATTCAATATATTTGGATTTCCAAAAGTCATTTGATAAAGTAGTACTTATGCCACATATGGCTACTAAATAAGAGCCTTTACTGTTGGGGATAGTATATCAGCATAGAGAGAAGACTGGTGAACTCATACAAGAGGAGTTATCAAAGGGGGCATTTTCAGGATGGTAACCTGTCACCAGAGGAGTTCCACAGTGAAGAGGAACAAAAACAAAGTTGCTGGATTAGCTCAGCAGGTCTGGCAGCATCCGTGAAGGAAAAGACAGTGTTAACGTTTTGGGTCCATTGACCCTTCCTCAGAACTGTTCTGAGG